TAACAGCCCGGACACGTAAAAACTAGCTAATCTGAGAATGGCCGTTAAATCATTGAATAAGCATTCAGCGAGCGAGACCCTACTCAAAATTTTCACCTAAATGGAGATTCCATGTTGTCCAACATTCAATAATGCTATTCTGAAAACATGTTTGAAGCTGTAACAGAATGTGAACATAAAACTATAGCGATAGCGAACAAAGCAAAAATTTGAGAGTCCCAGTTGGACTGAGATAGTATGCATTTTATTCGTTAGTCTCTTTATCGTGCAGTTGTAAAATATTGCATACTAGCTTTCCGCCCGCGGCTTCTCCCGCGTGGAATTTAGTCTGTCATAGAAAAACTTAACTATAGATTTTACGATTTTTTGGGAAATCGAAGTTAGTACTGAACAGAGATATGGAAAAATCTTCGTCATCATCATAGGTCATTTACCTTCTTATTACGAAAAGTTAAAATCGCGTTGATCACTAGTTCTGGTCAGCGCTCATCGCACGTTTATTTTTATTTTTTTTGTAATAAGGCACTTATGCCCGTTTTCACCATCAATCCCTAATTTAAGTGACCCCTATAAAACACAAAAATATTGTTATGTGTTACCATAGGGGCACTTAAAAATTTGGTATTGATGGTGAAAACGGGCAATAGTCTCCACTACAGGAGCACAACGTCTTTAATAAGAAGCATTTACTGGGGTGTGAACATGGGTAGATACTAAGGTTTATACGGAACCATTCATTTCCTGTTATATTGAGCTTAAGTGTGAAACATAACATCAATAACTAGACTCGACAACTTAGATAACTTAGGTTCTACATAGTAAACAGAACAATAAGTAATACATCTGCACTTTGTGGAGTGATTATGTAAAACGGTTCACCTTGTTACATAACTAATCTAGCAGGACTATGTAAGCGAGACGGATAAAGTAACATACGTCTACTGAGTCTCCAGTACTAAGCCCGGTCTGCGAGCACGTAGAATTTTGTCCAATAACCCCAAGCTACCCATCCTTATCGCTCGCGCGTAATTATGTTGCTGTCGCGCTCGCACACTCACTGCGGGCGCCCAGACCAGACTACTGTTCTCTTTCACTGTGGTTAAGGTAAATACCCAATGATGCGTATAATCACAATATTGGAATAGTTTCGCCAAGCCAGGAGGTTCTGGACGCCTGAAACTACTTGTAAGTCGGAAGCTATAAACTAATGAGGGATGATAAATAGATCCAATATTTATTTGAGAGATCTTACCTACAGTATATGCTACAGTTTTGCTCTAAGCACACTTCACTATCTTTAGTAAGGCGACCTTTACATGTTTTGTTACAGTAGGTACTTACGAGTATACATAGTTAGTTTTCTTGCAATAAACTAGTAACTTTAATAACTACTATCGCAAAGTGAGATCTTGCTTAAAAAAAGCTATAATTAGGGCTGTTTGACCACGTGCTACAGCAGTCCTGCCGTAAAGCTGAGTCCACACTCGTGTTCGTTCATATCGAAAACCACGCTGTAACGTTAATCGCGTGGACCTATCCAGGGCTGTGAGGAGATGAATCTTGATTAGAAGAAAAAAGTGTTCGACTAAACCCTAAAAAACAAATACATATCTAGACTATGTAAATGTACACCTTACTTAATTATACGTAAATCATGGGACTAACCGAAGCGATCGCAAATCCAAATCACAAGTAGTCTTTTAGATGTATAAATAATATTTATTAAAATTGTATAAGACTATTAAGATCTTGTAAAAGTGATAACAAAGGTCTTTCAGTTTTATTCTAAGCCATTTTCAGACAAAAAATTGAGTCTCGTAACACGCATACAACGTATTATTCCACACCGTGTCTCCGTATAAAATTAAATTCATTATAAATGTGAGTCTGTCAACCCTATTACCGGAAATCCCCCATCTCCACTTGTTGCAACATAGCAGCCGGAAGTGAGAGGGCGCTGGCGCGCCATCGCGGAAACAACACGACGTCACTTCCTCCGTGTGTGCTTTTCATTACAACGCTGAAATAAACTTTTATCGCAATTTTATACTTCAGCGGGAAAGTGCTCGTAACACTTTTTTTTGGCACGATTTGCATAATGGCCGCGGTTGTGTGTTTTGTAACGGAATACCTGCGTGTATGCACAATTATTAACGTCTAATTGAATTATAATGGGTTTGAATGTAGTAGTAATGTAGTAGCCTGTGATAAGGAATACAAACTGCTGACACTCATTCAGGTTGGTTTTATCACTCACTTCTAGTTTAGAAGATTTGAGAATTTATTCTGCAGTATATAGGTAACTAGCTTTCCGCCCGCGGCTTCGCGCGCGTGGACTATTTTACGGAACCCTATTTTTTTCCAAAATAAAATTTAGCCTATGTTACTCGTGGATAATGTAGCTTTCAAATGGTGAAAGAATTTTTAAAAACGGTCCAGTCATAAAAATTCATAAATAAAAAAAAAAAAAATTTTGGCAGCGAAACCGCATTTGCTCATAAAACCCGTTTTATTTTTACTCACGGTTGTTTTGTAATTAAACAACATCTTCTTGTGGCTTTCTTGTGAATTAAAATATTAATTAATACCAAGTTTGTGAATGAATGTTATTTTTGTGAGATTAATAATAAAGATCTTAAACCACAGACACGAAGACATTTTTATGTTTTCAAATTATTTTTAGATAAACATTACACATTTTGTAATCCAAAAAGCAAGAAGGAAAAAGCTTTTTTGATTTTCCCTGATATGATGACATATGCATGGCGATACGTTTCCATACAAATTGACAGGCTGTCGATACCTCGTGCCGTTTTCAAAGATAGGTAGTTTCTCGTACTTAAGTAGGCCATGTCATGCCTTAGCCACGGTAATACCGTGCCATATTTTACGTCTATTATCGCAATTTTTTCAAAGAACTTACCGTATGCGGTACAATTAATTTGCCAGGTGTAAATCTAACTTGCCAGACGTGAAATTATGCTTATGATTGAATAAAGTTTTCAGTGAGATTTCGCTGTGGGTTTCGCAAATACAGCCTGTATGTTTTAAGAACGCTTATTATGTTTTTATTTTCTGGTGAGTGCCTGGTATCTATGACTATAATATGGTGTAGGTCGCGGAAATCACCTTACTGCGGGCGGAGCAGGATCGATCGCTATGGAAATCCTCAGGGGAGGCCTTTGTCCAGCCGTGGACGTCATTTAGCTGAAACGAACGAGTCTTTTTTCAAATGCGCCTTCTTAGGTACACCTAACTAAGCCTACTTAAATATACATACGCCTTTTCTAACCCCGACATAGGCTGGCGTGGCATTAGGCTATTTGAGTAATGTACAAGAGCGTTGCATATTTCATACGCCGGCCTTACCAGCAGTCAAAGGTTTCTATTTCTGTTTGCGTAACCTTAGCTCGCTAATGAAATGGTTCAGCTGAATGTGTTAAAGGTGTCGGTTTGTTAGAAAGGGAAAAGAAAAACAAGGCTTTTAAGCCAAACTGTATTTGTAATGATCTTACACCACGCATGTCGCACTGAAACTTTAATTCAGAGAGTGTTACTGAGCTACAAAGGCGTTACAATAATTTAAGTGGCGCCTAGAGTTCTTTAGGTACGATTTTTTTTGTTTCAGGAAAAAACTTTTAAAGAAAGACAAACGTACTTAAACTTTCTTTGAGTATTTAAATCGTCGATATTAAGTTCAAGCGAATAAAACCCACCCAATGTTAGTAAATAGTAGTAGGTATTTTCAGTTATTCAAAGTGAGCAAACTGTCGGATTATACACTTAAACAATAAAATAAGCATGCACTTTACATTTGCGGCGAGTCCACAGAGCAGGAGGTGCCCAAGCTAAAAATATTTCTAATTTTCAGACGCAGAATTTCCACTTCAAAATGTTCGTCGAGGGCGCGTTCTTTGCATAATTTCGGAAGTTAATGAAATGACTACACGACAACACAAAGACGGGAATTTAACTTAGTTAAAATATGCCAATTTGTCTGTTGAAGATATGAATTATTTATCTACTGTCAGTCTACTCTATCTATTAGTGTAATTAAATAGTGAGCAGAAATGAATCAAAAGGCTAATTATCTTGAAAAGAAAATCGGCAACAAAAAATCATTACGGCAGTATTTTCAAACGCAAACAGAATTGATTATTGTAGGTAGTGAAACATGTAGTGTTGCACCTAACTACCAAAAATTATTAATATTTTTTCCTGTTAACCCGTTCAGTTAAGTTAAATACCAATGAGCGACGTTTTAACTTATCACGTGAAAATTGTTTACTTTCTCATGAATCTGTGCTACATTAACATGGTATACTAGTAAAATATGCTGTCTTTCTGGGATTGTATACCTAGATAATGAATAATTATAATCAACATCTTCAATGCCTGCCCATACATTACCGAGCAGCAGCTTGTTAGCCAAACGTCCGCACGTCAGTATGCGGCTCGCCATACAATGACTCACGATGATGGATGCAGCATTGATGTCAGTTGCAGTAATCTGCACAGACATCAATAGATTATCATTAGTCGGGAAATTAGATATTGATTGATGATTAGACTGCCAGCGTTTAATTTCGGGAACGTGTAGTTTGGATTAAACTCCGTTATATTTTCAATTTGGGATTTAGAACAGAACAGCTTCATTTGAAGACATGATTGCCTTGCATTAGATAAAAACTTAGTTTCCACAACACAAGCACAATCAAACTAAAATGCACTCATGCAGTAGGTATTTCTGGACAGCAGTCCTACTCCAGATAAATCTCTATCCACAAATGTTTTTTCATTCTAATTCCCTGCAGTAGGTACCTACAATCGTACTAGTTCCTACAGTCGTAGTAGTTCTTCAAACTCCAAACTCTTTTTATTAATGTTGGTCCCTGAATAGAACATTTAAATTGAAATTACATTGAACTAACCTACAAAATTAGACGGGATAACCCCTGAAAAGATAACAATGATTAACAAAATGTTCCTTCTCCTTGCAGCCAGCGTCAGCATCATCAGTTCTCCTGGTCCACCTGGGCGCAGTCGGCGCGCTCGCGAGCGGTGCTGCCCTCTGCGGCGGCGGCAGCGGCGCGTGCGCGTGCGGCGCGCTACTGCACGCGCTACACCCGCTGCAGCTGTGGACCGTATGCGGGTTGCATGCTGACCGTGCCGCTGCCATCGCTGCGCCGCTGCATTATGCTGCTATTGTCTCTGCCAAGAAGGTGGGTCGATAAATTGTTTCTTAAAGTAACACTACTAGTACTATCAGTTGTTTTGGTTCACCTGGAAGGGGTGCGCGTGCGGCGCGCTATTGCACGCGCTACACCCGCTGCTGTAGTGGACTGGGTGTGGGCTGCACGCCGACCGGGCTGCTACCATCGCATCACCGCTTCATTTTGCTACTATTGTCTCAGCCAAGAAGGTGGGGTCTATAAGAAGCGTTATTTTACAAGTGCCATCGGTACTTGGAAAGATTATTGTGCGTATAAGGCGCGCTTCACTTATCTACTCTCAACTGCAGCTGCGCCACTGCCACGCAGCCAAGAACCATGCTATCGACTATGTAGGTACTATGTTCAGAGCCCAGCAATTTTAAATGACAGTAAATAGGTATGTTAAAAATTTAGCAATTGTGCGAGAAAGCACCTAAGTACTTTTGAAATATGCATGTATATGCTGAACTAAAGGCAAATTTTGTTGCTTAGAAAGAAGTTTGATTCTAAAAAGTTCGACAACAAATATCTCGCGAGGAACGAATAAAAGAAAGCGATGAGCTTTTGAAGTGCATTTAGCCTTTGTGTTTACTTACGCTCCAAATGAAAACATAGCGTCGTGAGCTACAAAGGATCTTGTTGATTAACATAGCGAAATAATGAAAACGGTGCCAAACTACATCTCTAATTCTAGGACTTTGTGAAGAAAATTTATACAGCCCAAGCCTAACAAAGAAGTTCCTTGAATGGCTGCATTGTACTAGCTAAATCATATTTTAATATTTTGTGCCTTTCTCCATAGGTGATGATCTGTGTGGTGAGCGGTTGGGTGGCGACAGCAGCGCTGCTCGCGCCCCTGGCCGCTGCACAGCCACCTCTGGCCTACAGCGTAGGCATCGGCAGTTGCGCCCCAGACTGCGGCGCCGGCCCGGCCGCCCTCGGGTTCTGTCTTCTCTACGCAGTACTCACTCTACTCCTCCCCGTCACCCTCGTTCTCCTCTGCAGCCTCAAAATCCTCCGCATCGCTCGATACCACCGACACCGGATCGCAGCTGCCATATACGAGGTTACCCTATCAGCTCAAGTGACTGTAACACATCAGCGTAACCCATTCTCTCCGCCCCCACCACCGAGACGGCGCGCTCTGTCCGCTGTACTCCAACCCCTCGGCTCTCTGGCAATACTGTACTTTCCTTACTACTGCGTATTAATATGGCCCGCAATCGCCGTCCCACCGCAACCAATAGCTGCCATCTCAGCGGCGTTGCTAGCAGCTGCTCCGCCAGTAAACGGTATTTTGTATGGAATCCGAAGTCGTGCGTTGAAAGATTCGCTTCGCAACTACCGGAGGAAACGCATGACTAAGAGTGAGGTCACCCAGGAGATTCAGGCGCGAACTCCGAGCGCTTGCGGTTCTCGGCGGCCGTCGCTATCGGCAGGCTCTGGTTGCATTCGTCCACCAACGACAAGAAGACTATCAGACGCAGCAGCCATGGGCTCCCGTGGATCAGAACGGCCAGCGCAAAGAGCCGCGTCGTGTAATATGCTGCAAGATTCCCACGAAGAAGAACCTCATAGGCCTCGGACGTCAGCTATACCGTTGATTCGCGCTCCACCACATGTGGTATTAGGTAGGGCTCTGGGGCTTGAGGAAACTGGTGTCAGGGGACGAAGACGACAGTCACCTAGGATTACGGTCACTAGGGCCATGTCTGATGAAAGCGAGTCACCGACTCGGCGGCCGCTCTGCCGTCAGCACTCGCGCTCCAGTGGCGCTCTCCTCGGAGGGCTGACGTATTCCCCCGCTTTATCAGAGAACGTCCACCTCGACCACCCCGACGAACCGCTCCTCCTCTCGTGGCCGCAGCATCAGATCAAGAGTGAAGTTTTATAAAACGGGTATCTTTAGTGTAGTTCGCTGATAGATGTGCATAAAGACAATAAGTGTGTGTGCGGTTCGAAGTCGAGTCAGCCTCGGTGTTAAGAGAATATTATTTTTTGTCGCTTTGTACCAACCCGTCTACTCGAACTTCCTGACCAAGCCGTGACCAAATATAAAATGTTTCCTACTCTATTTACTACTGTACCTCTTAGTCGTAATAATTTCTCCTACAGGGTTCCTCCATATCGTTAGCTTTACCTACTGAAGAAGTATTACTTTAGTTAGTGTATTTCTGTAAAGATAACTTCTGAAATATTCCATAGGTATTTAGGTATGTTGAGATTATTGACCTTTATTTATTTTACTTAAACAATAGTCACAAAATCAAAGAAAGTTTTAGCATATTATAGTTTATTTAAATTATGTGCAATATAAATAAGTCAGTCTAATAGGTGTTCAACGCAGGATTTGCACATTAGTCTGCAGGATATTCTTTGTACAGAATAGAATACAGGGCGTCAAAACAAATGTTTATGCTCACACAATTTGCAACGCCCTGTATACAAAACTTTAGGAAAGTAATATAACTTATTGCAACGCTTTTAGACATCGCCGCCGTCCAACTTTCGGAAGTCTTTAGAGTTTGAAGAAAACAACACTAGGATTTGCCACACTGTATGCGTTCTGCGGTCTGCGGTCAGGTCAAAGAGAACGCAGATCATGTTTAAACAACTTTGTCATAGATTTTGTTGATGTGATCTCACAGTGCGGGCACGATCAAAGAACAACTGACAGGTGCGGGCTGCATTCATTTGACCTGACCGCAGACCGCATTCAGTGTGACAAATCCTTCTGTGTAAATAGCTATTGCGGTGCTATTTGGATACCATTCGAAAATAAGGATGAATGGGCTTGTAAAAAAAACAAAAGGATCTCTTCAAATGCTAGATTTCAAGATGGCTTCCTAGTTCAAAATACACAAACGATATGATATTTTTCTGATTATTTCTTGTCTGTATAAAACTGTACTCGTAGCTATTTATAAAATGGTGTATTTTAAATTGGATGGTGACATTTAAAATTATTTTGCATCGTTATAAAGATAGTGAAATAAATATAAAGTAGCAGTTAATAGAGTAAACTTGTTTTATGAAATATTTAATGTCGTTAATGAATGATAAATGTTTAAGCAGATAAATACGAATTGTTATTCTAGTCAATGAGCTGTTGTTTTATTGTATCCGTGTTAATTTAATTTAAAAGTATAAGTGAACAATTAAACGCATAAAAAGATGCACTTTTTCATTTTCATTTATCGTCCTAGATAGAGATTTCAGCCAAAACAATAAGGTCTTCATTTTTATCAACTAAGATCTAAATCAAGAAACTACATAGCTTTGAACTGCTAATAACAAGATTTCACTTTACTCAACATTTTCATTCTGATTACATTCATATTTTTCTTTTCTATTCAGGCAGTGCCTAGGGGAACAGAAAAGAAAAATATGTAATAATTACTGCTTTGCTTACAAGAAATGCCGCCCCGATCAAGTATGGGTATTGAAATTTTGTAATTTCAACACGAGTCACTAATGAAGGTGATCGAAGGAATTGCAGTCCAAGAATAATTTCTATTTACCACGAATTCCCGTACAAATTATCTCCTCATAAACACGATAGTTTGCAAAACAATTTATCCCTATTTCTGAGATCTAGTTTAACTTGGCCAAGTTCCTACAATAAGCCCATAAAACCACCGTTTATTACCACCACTACCTGCCTAGATTAGAATATTTGATGCACGATATCAAAGAATTTTCAGTGTTCATTGCTGGTTTACAGCTGCAAGTCCACACGCCGCTTTGTGTGCATCAATCAATGGATGCTGTGAAACAACGATTGTGGTTTGAATGAGAATGTTGCAAAATATAGGAGCATGGCCGATATTTAATGAGGTCCGATGTTTATAAGCCGAAGCGGATCAAAGGCAGCATGCTGTATCAAATTGCAAACAATTTGTTGGGTATTAAGGTCATAGCACACTTATCAACTCGGAAAGGGATCAAAACCGTATCGCCTTTTGCGAGCTGTCATCGCCTTTCGCGTGATTTCAATCGCGAGACGAGACGTTTATATTACGGTGTGGATAAGTGTGCTTTGCATTGCAGTATAGAGTTTCATACAAAGAATACTGACCGCCTTGAGTTGATACGGCTACGATCCCTTTCCGGGTTGATAAGTATGCTACATCCTTTACCTGGTAGTAACTACCTTACATGGTTCAAAAGAATTTGAAGCTGTCAAACAGGTTGGTGATTGGTGAGTACCTACATAATGTTATTTATTCATGTATAGTTGGGAACCCAACAACGCGCGGGAGGAGACGTGCGGGCGGCGTACAATGACTAGTACGTCACCTCGGGCCGACAGCGTCATCATCGGCTGCGCTCGGGTCACACACTCGCCTTTGGACACCACCGTCGACGCACGAATACCGCGTACTCTCATAATTAATTTCTTGTAATTAGGCTGGCGAGAATTACAGCACCTATTTTATACAGTCCACTATTTTCATTTTTACTAATATTCGTTAGGACCCTAACATGTATTATCATAGGAAGTTGCAGGAAGGCTGCTGATTGAAATCCGTTTCCAATCAGCCAATCTGAAAGTCACTGAAGAAAGCCTATGTTTAGCGGTGGCGTCTTGTGGCGGTAATGATGATGATGATCTGTCTACAAATTTTTTAATTTCGTTCAGCATTCTTTTTTTGTTTTTGGAGTTTCTATTACACTGTGATAAGAATAGATAAAAGGTTTTTTTCAATAATTACTTTTTATGAGAGTGAAAAAGTTAAACGACCAAATTGTACTATAATTAACCGTCTCCTGCTCTTTAATTTGACTGAATAAATGTCTTCCCACTCTTCTAAAAATCTCATCAAGCAAGAGCAAATAATTATTATTTTCAGGTGCACTAATTATGTCACCCACACAGGCTCGCCTTACTCAGATTAATTCTGACATTTCGCCAAAGGGTGAAACCTTATTTGCAACTGGTAGAATTTTCGACAAAAAGTAGGTGCTATAATACTGCGTGGAAAAGATAAGTGATCTCAGTCGATTATTTCTCAACTATACAAGATATCAAAAAACTTACTTACTGATCATGAAAGTGCTTCACGAGCTCTATCAAACAGTATCAATTAGGTTTACAGAATAAACTGGATCTATAAAAAAGGTTTCCAGCTTGCATACATTTAGTACCATAGTTGATCCACAAGTTTTAGCCATATCTTATATAGTTTAGAAATAATCGAGTGAGATCACTTATCGTTTCCACCCTGTATAAGTAAGTGTATCTATATTTACAATACAAATCCGTTATTGTCTTTGTAAGAAGTGGTTAGGGGTATATAAGGTGTAAGAAGTGGTAAGAGTAACAAAGGGGGTGCAGAACATAGCGGCCGTATTTCATATTTCACGTAGGTAAGTATGTACCTAGGTATATTATTCTGTTTATCCGACTCGTGCAACAAACCTATACAGTGTAAGCCCAAAAAATTTCATAGTCTTGTAGAAGAAACAAATGAATGTTGTAGATAAGCTCATTTGTTCAGAACAATTTCGATTGGTAGTAAGTATTTACCCTCTATCAGTTTGAAAGTCGCAAGTGTGTAACAGGCCTAAACCAAGTCCTTCCTGTTCAAAGTACTTTTAGTCGGAACTCTAATATTAAAGTTTAAAGGCTCGTTAGCTCGTTTACGCCACCGATGTATAATCACAGGTTTCAATTTTGGTTAATTAATTCATTGGCTCTCATCTGAAATCTTTGAAATATGACGATTCTTCTTAGAATAGGAAGATTTCTCAGTAATGGTGTACAAAAACGACCTGAAAGTCAAATAAGTAAGTAGCAGTATAAGTAATGACAGGATTAAATTTTGGTCAATTAATTAATTGACTCTGACTATGGCTCTGATCTGAAAACTTTGAAATATGACGATTTCTCTTAGAATAAGAATATTTCTTAGTAATGGTGTACAAAGGAGACACCATAGTCAAATAGCAGTGTACAACAACGTGCCATACAAAAAGTTGAAAGAACTAGTGCCATTCACTCGAGGGAATAGAATAAAGTAGAAATTGTTTGATATAAAAAGGGGAGGTTTTAGTGCTAATACCCTTACTAACTTGAAATACTTGGTAGCTGGTGAGCATTCACCAAGGAATACATAGCCTGCTTTAGTACTTAGGTTTCCTTTCTGTAGGTAGGTATGTAGGTTAGATGCTTGTTATACCTAATTACCTATGCTATATTTCGATGCCATGTTCAGCAGTGGGCATCCTGTGTGACCTACGATCATTAATATTTAAGTATTATGTTCTTATAAATTACTATCACATTTGGTTTTCTTTAGCAGACTTGTGGGTTTTATCTTATTTCACACAGGACCCTAAAAGGTAGACAATATAAGACAACGTTGTAAAAAACAATGGAGGTGCACTCACCTCCTGCAGACGGCAAATTTCATGAATTTAACATGAACTCCGCCATCTCTTTGTCAGTGACTCGTTTGTAACCAGCAATTTCGGATAGGCAATAATAGACACATAGATACTGGGTGTGATGAAAACGGATATCCTTTGTTTGCTGTCTATTTTTTCGCCGGACCTCTGTCCGATGCATGTGCTCACGTTCATTATAAACGCATTATGTCAACGTGAAATTGTGAACTCTGTCAGTTTATAATATAACGCGTTAGATTGTAAACTAACAGTCGGTTAGGTTAGGTTAGATTGTAATTTAACTACGTCAGATTATAATCTGACGGAATTCACAATTTTACGGTGACACATACACCACCGCTAAATCTTGCAAAAAATCGGGCCGTTGCCCGGTAAAAAAAAACGGATGTTTACAAGCGGCCTGAAGGACATAAGAAAATGAAATGAATTTTAATTACATATTTGAATTTAATTAGGGACTACGGCTAGGTCAAGTCAAATGTCAGAGGTTTTTCTCCAACTCAAAGTCAATATTGTTTTTAGCCTTGGTCCATTTAGATTAAGCTTTTGTAGGTACTGCTAGTGATTTCATGGAAGTATATTTTGAAATCATTGCCTGTTTAGAGGATGTCTTTTAAACAATTGCAGAAGTGCAGAGTCAGCGTGAATGCATGTAACTGTAGAGACCTTTTTAAAAACTATGGCTAACCGATAAAGGATAAGACTTCTTAAATAGACCTAGTGTGACTGAAGAATAGCGATAGTAGCGTTTACTTTCCTTAGAATAATACTTTGTATCTCAGATNTGTGTGTGTGGGAGCTGCGGTGGGGGAAATGTGGGGACACTGGTTCTCGTTGTAGTTACGCGCGACTTCATATCTATTCTCTTTCTATGATCTGAGCTTTGTATCGATTGGTGAAGGTCGCGGGAGGTGCCTGAATGCGGGCGGCGCAGGACCGGTCTTTGTAGAAATCCTTGGGGGAGGTTTTTGTCCAGCAGTGGACGTCATTCGGCTGAAACGATGACGATGAATAGTATCTTAGGATACCAGGCTTGCGTTTATATCCAAAAATAGCTTAAAGCAAATTTATGCAGGAACGACTATTTTAGCTGCTATAAACCAGGATATTGCAGATAATCTTCTACAATGGGCCTTTTTATGCATTTCAAGGGATTTTAACGGGCTCTATAAAAATCTATTTCATCGACAATTTATAATTGTATGAATTATTGGTTTGTATAATTAAATAACGTCAGTTTAATGTCCTCTTTATTCGACGTTGCATCGGAACATAAAAATCAAACTAAAGGAAAAAGCATAGACCGGGCAATACATAACAGTCAACTTGTGACCACAGCTAGTACCTACATGTACAGCAGGAGGCAAACGAGCAGACGGATCACCTAATGATAAGGGATTACCGTCGCCCATAGACACCCGCAGACCCAGGGGCGTTACAGGCCTTTAAGGTGAATACGCTCTCCTCTTGAAAGCTTGCAGGTCGTATCCGTCCGGAAACACCGCAGACGACAGTCCATTCCACAGTTTGGTTGTACGGGGCAGGAAGTCTCTAGAGAAACATAGATACTGTTGTGGACAGCCAACCATCTAAGTGATGGGGGTGGAAGTGCTGTCGGGTATATCGGTGGCGAAAAGTACAA